AACAATGAACAAATCGATATGTTGTTTATTTATGGCATGTCTTCAAAGTGCAGCTGCTGCGGACTAGTGATTTGCGGGAACACCATGGAGGACATGTAGAAATACATAGAAGACATAACAGAAGTGACTGGTGACAACTTTGAGCACATTATTTAAGTTATAAAGGGCCGTATTAGATTAATTTTGGAATAAATTAATGTAGGTTTCTTATTTTTGAGTTTTTTGAAAAAGTTTTTATTTTAATGACTTCTATACTGATATCTGGTATATCAGTTAAAGCGTGTTTCGAGAGAAAAACACATTTTCTAAAAGTTGTTTTCACGTTCCCTCGAGTCGAAAAAATAATTAATGTACCGCTGGTTTACTTTAATTTTTTTTTTGTTCTTGAATATTATTTTTGAAGTTCTTTTGTCGAATATGGATAGTTTTAGTTTAGTAATAATGGCATACCCCCTAAGCTATTAGATGCATTAAAAAATAAATCTTTTTTTTTAGATCCCGCTTTTTGGCTTAAGAGGAGAGTGAGTATACACAGTTAAAAGAAGTACCGACTTAGCATTCACCCTGTATAAAAAAACTATTATTGAAATAAATAAGACATAAGCTACTATGAGCGCTTAAGACAAAATGTTCACAATAGACAATAAATTGGTATAAATAGTATATTTATGTTCAAATGCATATAAAAGAGTAAAAGACAACCAAAAGCGCTTGCTATCACTAAATTTAAACCCGATTTACACTCATAAAAAAATATTTTTAAAAAATAATGACAAAGAAATCAATAATTTTACTGATTTAACCCTTTAAATTTCACTTTAATACAATGTGTGGTGAAATACAGGAATAATCGTTAATAAATGTAAAGTTTAAGCTTAAATATTATGAGACGGTGTAAATCCGGCCTTGAAAATAAATTAGGTTATGTTGCCATAAATATGTCAGTCTGATAAAGGTTTGATATTTTTGCGTAAAATTGTATTAATTTAGTGTAAGTTAGCTTTAAGTCATTTATTTATAGTTTTCTATAGTGGGGTTCTTAAGGATGTTATTAACTTCTGTTCAATTCAATTTTAATTGCAAAAGTAAATATTTTACTCGCAAAATCAACAAGAAATTTTATATTTTTCTTTCTATTATAACTCTTCAAAATTTTAAATATTTGTAGTTAAAAAAAAATGAAAGGGATTGTGCGCTAAATGTGTGAAGCCAATTTACAAACGAATATTGTAGGTCCCAAAGTAGAACATCATCATAGTTTTACTCATAAAAGAATATGATGAAAGCAGGCCTTTGATTTATGCTCAAAAAGATATTGTTCAATTTTTGGGTACTATTCATGATTATAATTATCAAATAATGCCCAAATATGGACATATGTTCAAAAACTAATATGATATTTATGTCAACTTGTTAATTTTTGCATGGTTCGCCTATTAAGAGCATAAATCATGTGTTTTCTGCTTTTATTATACGTTTTATTGTAAAAAAATATTATATAATTTTTAATTTTTGTTTGGTTTTAGATATTCCTGGGTAACTAGATATTTGGAATGTGCATTCTATCTATTTGAAATTGGTTGTGTTTCAAAGACCACTAGTACAAAAGCTGTAGGCTTATTGTACCCGAAATTGGCATCACAACTACGCTACATTAAAAAAGATTGGTAAAGGGATAATCAAGTGTAAGGATATTATAATTAGGTTGAATTTTCCTTGGAAAAAATTGCCTATCTGCATTAATAAGTCATAAAACAAGCCTTCTCTGATTTAATCAATACAAACCAGTTCTACATGATCCTTTTCATAGATGCCTTAAAGGGTGAAAGCAGAGTCGGCTTTTCAGTTATCAGTACTTATACTACTATAACAAAATGCAGACTGTCTAATACTTGCAGCGTACATACAAGCACAGTTTAAAGAATATATATTCTTTAAACTGTGATACACGCGAACTATATGCTATTTTAAAACCACTTCAAACTCCAATGCAAGAGGACCAAAATATAGCGATATGCACTGTTTCTTTAGCCTCTTTATCTTCAATGCACTCTATAAAATACATATATATTCCGAACGTCCTATAGTACAATGCATACATGAGACATGCCACGCTCCTTCCACCAATAGATTCTTCGTTTTCATGGTTTGGGTTCTATCATACGTGGGTATCTTTGGCAACGAGAGAGCTGACAAGGCAGCGAAAAAAACTTCCATCATCCGAACTACCTCTGGAAAATATTCAACTTCAAAGGACTTCAAAGAAAATATAAAGCAAAATATCCAATCATCTGTAACAACAAAACAGTCAGAATACCTCCTATGAACAGAACACACAGGATCCTAATCCGAAGATTAAGGATAGAGCATACACGACTCACACACGGTTATCTAATGTCTCCTAATAATCAGCCGCCACTATGTCAGCACTGTACCGGAACTGTACAACATTTTTTCCTGGAATGCAATCATTAGGCAGATATTCTTAGAAGGATGTTTTTTCATGTTTATTTAGAACGGGCGCAATAAGAAAAGATTTCTCTCAGTAATTTTTCATCAGTATCAGAAAGATAAATTAATAACTATTAACGAAGGTAAGCTGTGAGAAAAATGAATATTGTTTCTGCAGCATTATTTTAATGTACTTAGCTTATTTATAAACTTTATTTAGGCATTTCCCATTTAATTTCCGTTTTACAATTTAAAGGGTTTATAAACAATATCGATTTCTTCTTTAACTTGTGGCGATTCAATAATATGGTTATTTTTTAGTTGATATGACGAGTTAACAACTTTTATATTACTCCTAGAATGTGTAAATAAGTGGCATTTTTGAGTGAATAGCATATAAAATCAATAAAAGTACATATGTTAATTTTATTTATGTATCAGGTATATGTTACATTATCTGTCCGGAATATTATACAGGGTGTTTTTGAAAAACATGTACACATTAAAACAGGTATTTGTACATTTCTCGAATGAATTTTTTTAAAGAATATCTATTAATAAATAAGTTTTGATAATCGGTTAACTTAGTTAGAAATTATTTATTTAAGTTTAGTTCAATGACTGTGGGTCTGTTATTGACATATTTGATTTTGATAATGCATTTTTAATATTTTTACTTTTAAGATTATTTTATTTTTCGATAACAAATGCAGAGTGTTTTAATATAATTTTGTTCATATTCGTGTAGCTTGTTGCAATTTGAGTTAAGTTTAATATAATAGCATGTGTATCACGCTAACTGTGCTACTGCATATGTGCGAATAGCTATAAGGTAAATTAATGATGACACCAAATAAAAAAATAATAATAATAATAATTTATTCAATCAATCCAATAAGAATATACAATAATAAAATACATTGTTATTATGATTGAATAATGGTACTCAAAGTAATTTTATACAATTATATAAAGCTAAAAACATCTATTTTAGTCATTAATTAAAAAAAAACACAATCATTTCATAAATATAAAACAGAAATAAAAATACAGGAAGGGTTAAATATACGATCATAGTATGTACTGAGAGCATATTTATTATTTCAACTTAGGACGAAAATTTGTTTATATTTCTACAAACTATCACGACAATGATGATATTTATTAGTATCAGAAAATAAGAGAAGATACCGAACATTAACTACTGATAAATAAATGTATGTATAAGAAAATACAGTAAATAGTATTAGTTTGAGACACAGTAATAGATCACGTGGCCCTTCCTCCAAAAAAAGACCTACAAAAAATAATAACAACTCAGCGATGGAGTTGCTTGTCTCCAACTCCATCGCTGAGTTGTTATTATTTTTTTTAGGTCTTTTTCTGGAGCTACTCTCTTTTTTGGAGAAAGGGCCACGTGATCTATTACTGTGTCTCAAACTAACCCTAATTATTAGGTTCTTGTTTGGGGAGTGGTCAACGACTTTCCTCGGTACCCCACCCAACCTAGACTTTCTAAGAAGGATATTGACTCCTGCACTTGACTTTGAAGCTTTACAGGGTCTTGGTTTGCCAGAAGAAAATCGTTGAGGTATTATTATTCCCTTTTTTGAAGTTGACTTGCAACCAGTTCGAAACTCTTGCAAACGTTAGAGGGGCACTTGAAAGACCAAAGGGAAGACATGTCATCTGATAAATCGCTCCCTTGTGAACTAGCGACAGAAATCTCCGGTATCGGATTTGTATGGGAACGTAATAATTAGCTTTGGTAATGTCCAATTTTGCCAAAAAATTCCCCCCTCTGCAAAAACTCTGGCACTCTGAAGTGGTTTAATAGATGAAATTTCTTTGGCCGAAGGTAGCGGTTTAGCCCTTTCAGGTCGAAGATTGGCCTTGAAGTCCCATCTGATTTCGGGACTATGAACATCTTTGACCTCAACGATTTTCTTCTGGCAAACCAAGACCCTGTAAAGCTTCAAAGTCAAGTGAAGGAGTCAATATCCTTCTTAGAAAGTCTAGGTTGGGTGGGGTACCGAGGAAAGTCGTTGACCACTCCCCAAACAAGAACCTAATAATTAGGATTAGTTTGAGACACAGTAATAGATCACGTGGCCCTTCCTCCAAAAAAGAGAGTAGCTCCAGAAAAAGACCTAAAAAAAAAAAAATAACAACTCAGCGATGGAGTTGGAGACAAGCAAGGAGCATATTAGGAAAGCTAAATTTCGCTACATTTGCAATACCCTTGGGAAGATTGAACTTAAGACGAACTCAGCGAGCAAGCCTATGTCTTCCAGAAAATTTTCCAAAAAGCCATTTCGCTGTATCAAATCGAGGAATGCAGATGGTGGATACAGAACCTAAAGACTTCAGCACCCCTTATTTCCAAAAGATTCAGAAGTATTTATAATCACAGATACGTCGAACACTGGTTGGGGGGCACAAATATAGGACGTCGCGTTAAAGGAAGTTTGGTTAGAATATCAAAGAAATTGGCACATCGATAGAAAAGAACTCTAAGCTATTTACGCGACACTAAAAAAATATGGCAGAATGCTAAAGGGGAAGACAATTGTTCAAACGGGCAATCAAACGGTAGTATCATATATCAGAAACCAAGGAGGAACAGAATCTCTGGCCTTACTGGACCTCGCGTCACGTATATGGAAGTTGATTCACAAGATGAAGATCAATATAACAATACAGTTTATCCCCGGAGTATGCAACGACATTGCGGACAGCCTTTCCCGCAACGAATCAGCTCCGGATTGGCACCTTTCCTATACAATAAAAAGACAAATTTTTCAATTGTGGGGAACTCATCAGATAGATTTGTTCGCCACGATGAAGTCGAAAGTAGTTCCAGTCTATGTGTCAAGAGATCTCAGAGACCGCAAAGCCCTTTTTATCAATGCATTCAGCAGGAATTGGACGTTCCCTCTAGCCTGGCTGTTTCCCCCTCCGTCTCTGATTCCTCGAGTGTTAAGCCATCTCAACTTAGCCAAGGGAACCAACATTCTGATAGCACCGAAGTGGGAGCGCGTTTTTTGGAGGATCTGAAATCCCGAATTATAGCCGGACCTCTAAAAATACAGAATCTCAGTCTTCACCTAGTCGACATGAATACAGGCAACCCATTACCTCGGGCGGAAGAACTTCGATTGGAAGCCTGGAAGATCCAGGGTGGGCCTGTGCTGTGAAGGACTGGAAAAAAAGATATAAGTTTATTGGAGAATTCTTGGCGCAGATCAACGATTAAAACGTATTCAGCACCATGGCGACAATGGCTCTCTTGGGCTAGAGAAGGAAACATTCCACCTGGTAACCCAGAACCGAGTCAGGTGGCTCAGTACCTTGCTTATCTATATCGAGTAAAAAATTAACTCCCTCGACAATTAAGGTTTATAAGTCTGTAATTGCAACATTAGCAGATCCATCATTAGGAGAAGCTATTTCTAACAACCCCATTGTGAAACGAATTCTGAAAGCCATAGATTTGAATAAACCTTCCCCGGATAAGAAGTTTATATAGGATGTAAGTAAGCTAATAGAATGGATGAACGATTCAGTGGACAAAACCAATATTTTTCAGTTTCTCGACGCTTGGTTTTGATTCTACTATTAGTTTCAGGTCGTAGGGTTCACGATCTAACATTATTAAGAATGGATAAGGATCTAAAACCGACAATGGCTCCTATACACAATCTGGGTGGAAATTACTCAAATGTCCAGAGAGGTTTTGTGATCCATTATTTTGGATTAAGAAATTAATTAACGTTTCCGAATGTCGAACAAAAGCTAGATCTCAACTCACTCATTTGTTCATAACTACGAGAGGTCAGGCGAGTCCAGCTTCCAGGTCAATTATTTCTGGTTGGATAAAGTCAGCCTTTATTGCGGCCGATATTGGTTCATCTCCAGGAAGCATAAGATCAGCAATCGCATCCTCCAAATTCAAGAACGGTTTACCAGTAGATTTTGTTTTGCAAGGTGGAAACTGGAGAGGAAAAGATAACTTCTTTAAGTTTTATTATAAAGATATCAAATCATCCTAGAGGCAGTTCCTATTTAGTTAGTAAATACGTTACCATAGTCAAATAAGTAGTTCTGTTTTTCAATGTTTATTAGGTTAGTGTTTATTGATTATTAAAAATTTTGATAAAATTATTAAGATTTAAACATTTAATGGTATAAATAAATTATCACAGTACGCTATCCTGCGTCGTTAGAAACCAAACACTTCTCATAAGGGTCAAGCCGACGGCACAGACCCTGAAATAAACAACGTTTTTCCCATGAAGGGTAAAAAACGATATATTTCAGGTCTTGCCTAGGCTTGACCCCGTTAAATCTTTGACGAATTAAAAGTACTGATGAATATCCTCACTGGACTCTAGTGGGTCGGTCTCCGGTCGGAGATCGGAGGTGGGAGTAACGTTCGGGCTAGGACGCACGCAGGAAAGAAATAAGAAGATGAGTGTTTATAACGAGGTAAGATAGACGTAATCTCGTAAGGGTCAAGCCTAGGCAAGACCTGAAATATATCGTTTTTTACCCTTCGGGGAAAAACGGTTATTTTAGAATCGACTCATCCTCACTAACAAGCAAACACAAAACGGTTAAAACAATTCAAACTACATATCTCTCATCATAAGTCTATCTCAGTTACTCCTATTAAATGTTCAAAAATAAATTTTAACAAGTCAAACATGATGCGATTTCCGTTGACCAATAGCGACCCGACACCGTAAGTCACATACAGCTTGCCAAGGGCAAAAGTTGATCGGCGTTGTCTCAACAAGTTAGATTTATTCTCAAATTCTACCAATAAGGTTCATTTTATTTTCTCTCTGCCGAAATCAGCGCAGTAAAGTAAGAATTTATAAACCGACGTTTAATTACCACATATGTAAACTAACAATTTAATAAAGTGTAAAAATGTTATAGTTTGTATCAGAGTTTATCAAGTTTAAATAAATAAGTAAAAGGAAGGTACATTTTTGATTTCAACCAGTGCAAGTGCATTCAAAATCCAGAAGTTTGGTACTCGAACCGCCTATAGAATAGTTACAGTCCATGTAGAAGGAAACCCATCTTCATGACTTGGAATCAAGTGGAAAAATTCGATAGCCCGAAACACTTGCCTTTCACGAGTTTGACATTTGCCAAGTTTTGTGATTTCTGTGTCTTCAACTATAAAATTGAATAAGATCTGTTTAATTTAATCAAAAAACAAAAACGAAGAAGCTGTTTAATAAGTATAAAAGTCAATGGGTTTAGATACGCGAGCGCTTATTGGCTGAAATCACAAAATTTTACTATTTTGAGACATGAAAAAAATATGTTTAAATTTAATTAATGAGAGCTCCGTTCGAAAGTAAAAAATTAATTTTTCAAAATTTTTATAGTTTGTCACCGTATATGAGTGTAAACTGAGAAATTAAGTATGACTTTATTTATTGTTAATTATTTAAACTTATATGATTTAAATTGTTATAGCACTAATCCCGTTTTTTAGAGCCAAACCTCGTATTCTATTTCTTTTTGCGCCTGAGGTAGTTCAATAGAATTATCTTGGTGTTTCATGTTGATATGACGAGTCAATATTCCTTTACCCTGAAATTTTTCCTTACAAAATTCGCATTCTAAATATATATTAGTTCTGACATGAGTAAACGAATGGCACTTTAGAGTGAAACATCCTAAACAAATTTCACAATTAAATGGTTCATCTAACCGATTTAATTCGAGATGTTTTTCATAAATTTCTTTAGTTTTAAATTTTATAAAACAATTTTCACATGTGTTTTCTTCAGAGGGTTTTGGGACAATGGGTGTGGGTTGTTTTGGGAGAATAGGAATAGATTGTTCTGTCTTTAAACTAACATTTAATTTGGCTACTCGGTGCGCTACTTTATGTTTTCTAAACCCACTTTTAGATCTGAATTTCTTAGGACAAAGTTCGCATTCAAAGGAATCTTTGTCGGTGTGAAGAAGTTTTACGTGAGATTGAAGATCATGTTTGGTAGATAGCACTATGAAACAAGTATCGCACTGAAATAGTTTCGGATTAGTATGAATTCGCATGTGCGTATTGAGGATGTATTTAGTTCTGAATGTATTTAAACAAATTTCACATTGGAATAATCTGTCACCAGTGTGAGTCGTCACGTGATAATCGAGACGCTGTTTGGTTTTGAATATCTTTAAACAAACATCGCATTCAAATATCTTTTGGCAAGTGCCACGTCTTTGGTGTGTATCGAGTTCAACGAATAACCGAGAACAAAATTTGCATCTACGATCGCGATTTTTGCGAGGGCGCCCAGGACCACGCTTATTTGTTGTTAATTTTTTAGGTTGGCAACTAGGTAAGTAGGTAGGAATTATTTCAGAGGATTTGTTTATGTTTAGAGTATTTACTTGAAGTTTACTGTTAGATCTTTTCATAAAATAATTATTAAAGTAATGAGCCAAAAATTCTTTTTTCCGAACAAAAAAATGTCCGCATAGAGCACAGATGACGTAGGTTTGAAAATGTAGATTCAAGTGCTTCGGTTTCATAGGACCTGTAAATAATAAAATTACTTTACCATAAATAACAGAAAATACAGGATATTCCATTTAAAATAGGATGATTTCTACAAGTCCATAATAGGTACATAAATATTTAACCCTTAAAATATCAAGTTTATATACAAGCACCCTCCCGCTACAATTTGCACACTTTCAAAGTTTTAGTGACTGAAAAATCGTACATACATCTAATAAAAGCTTTTTTATTTTTTATCAAACATTTTGTTAACTATTTAAATTAGTTTATAATCTATTTGAAAGAATAAACCAATACTTAATAATTATATATCAGAAATATTTTAAACCAACAACTTTCGTAAAATATTTACAAAATTTCACAACCGTGTTACATCATCACCTTTAGCTTTGATAACGGCAATAATTATTTGGAGCATTATGAATTTATACAGTAAACCTTCCATATTTCTCCAATATTTGCTTTTAATTCTGACACTGATCTCGCTGATGCTGCACGCAACTGCTTTTTCATTTTATGCCATAATGACATCCATTCTAACTGCGGAATATTATTTCCATATTATAGAATTTTAACGGTTTTTTTTATGCATGACATGCAGCGCCATTTAGTTGTTCAAATATTTTTTAAATTAAATTAAAATGTTTAGTAAGTGTGCCAATTGTATCGAGACGGAGCTCGTAGGTTCAAAATATTCCCAAGAATGGGTAAAAAATGTCCACTCTAAAATTGGTGAGGTTTTTTATTTATACACTACACCCAAAAGGATATGTTTTGATTAAACCAAATAAATTTGAACTTAAAATGTAAAAACATACAAACTGTAACAAGAAAATTAAAAATAAAATCAAAACATTAAAAATAATATTTAAATATTTTTATTATATTATATTTTATATTATATTATATTATATTATATTATATTATATTATATTATATTATATTATATTATATTATATTATATTATATTATATTATATTATATTATATTATATTATATTATATTATATTATATTATATTATATTATATTATATTATATTATATTATATTATATTATATTATATTATATTATATTATATTATATTATATTATATTATATTATATTATATTATATGACAGTTATTGCATGATATTTGTGTCAGACAGAAATAGTGACAATGTAAACAGTAAACAGAGAAATATATTTCTACTATCAGCTATAAGTGTCTACATATCTATACCAACAGATGTAAACACTGTATTTTTTGGAAGTTCAATCTTGCTCGAGAGATATCGTAGTAGTTGACTTCTCGTCTACTTTTGTCATTGTGCATAAGTATTAAGTAAATATGGCCGCAAAGTTACAGCTAGTCGTTCTGTTACACTAATAGCTTTTCGAAATTTGGTATCTTGCTTTGAAATAAGAGGGCCAATTTTACAAGCAAACTTTTCGAAATTAGCTAGTCTCATGTTTGAAAAATTTGAAAACTGTGCTGGATCCTCAATACTGATCTCAGGCATCAATTGACTGTAGACACCGTATTTACACGTCACAAAATTCACTCTCGAACCCACCCTTTTTTGACATTAGAATAATTACAGAGGACGCGATTTTGGGTTTAGAGGATTTCATGGAGATATAACATAAAATTAACTGTATGCGTGTAGAATCAAAAATATGTACGACACAAGACACAGTTGTCGTACATTTATATAAATTTTGGCATTTAGATGAACTGTCATATACATATCCATGACATATATTTCTAGTAACTTCTATCAGTGTGTAAACAGTCAGTTGGCGCTTTTGATACAGCCGAAGCACGGCACTTCAATTT